GCTCCTTCTTCCCATCCACATAGTGTCCTGGGAGCCCACCTGTGTTCTGTGGCACAGTATTCCTATCACATCTGGAATTCTAATCGCTTTCGGAATGGCGTGCATGCTCAGTTCTGGGTACCACGTTTTGGTGGTCTGCAAGCTTGATGTGAAGGATGATGTGACGTGCCAAAAAATCTGGTGGGCTCTTTGATTGTGTTAGTAGGAGGATGAGAGAGGAAGGAAGCTTTAGAGAGGCCAGTTGTGGCTCTCTGTGGAGTCGTTGGAGTGGGGAATGGGCTGCCTTGGGATCAGATGAGATACTATATGTCAGCTGCTTTGCAAACCTTAAAATGCTCTGTAAATGTGAGCTATTGTTAGCTCTAATCAAATAAGTTCCCCATGCTTTAGGGTCTTCGAGCCAGGCTAGGTAACTCCTCATTAGGGCTAATGTAAAGGGGACTCCTGCTTTAGGTAGGGTCTAGATAAGCTCTGAAGTCTCTTCCAGTTTGGAGATTTCATGACTGTGGGTAATTATTCTGTGGCCCTTGGCCCTGGTCAGGCTATGTCTGGAGTCTTGGGTTCAGCTCTGGGTCCCATATTTGAGGCATAAAAGCATCAAATTGGGTCATGGCCCAAGGAGGATGGCCAAGATGATGAAAATTATGGGAACTGTGCCATGGGAAGACTAAGGCGGTGTGAGGGACTAGGTGATCTCTTTTTATGTATTTCAAAGGCTTTCATCTCCTTTGTCTATATCTTGTCGATATGTCTTTATGCTTGTGTTGCTACCCCTCTCCCCCTCCCCATTAGAATGTAAACTCCCCGTGGGCAGAGATTCTTCTTGCTTTCCCTCCAGCTCTTGGTACAATGCCTGGTGCAGAGTAAGTGTTGAATGAATGCTTATTGATGGATTGGAGTAGGAGGAGACTTGTTCTGTTCAAGTCCTGAGGGCATAATGAGGAGCAGTGGCTAGTTCGTGGGAACGGATTTTTGTCTAAGTATTGGTTTATAAGTATTTGTATTGATTTTGTAATACAAGGAGGAATTTCCTAATCCATAGAGCTGATATAAAAACCTCCTGTGAAGTAATGTGCTCATCATCACTGCAAGTGTCCGAGGGGAAGCTGAGGAGCTGTCTGTCAGGGATGCTATCGATAGGGGCTTCCTGTGTATGGCAGTAGATGAGACCAGGTGATCTCTGACCTCCCTCCCAATTCTGTGATTTTATGATGCTTCCAGGCTATTTGCAGGGCAAGAAACTGCATTCATTGGGAAAAAGGTTGAATAAATCCACTTACTTGAGGACCGAGCTATTAAAAAAAATCTTTATTTCATGTACCAGGAATTTTTTTTTAGTTTTCGGCTTTTTAAAATTTTTTCTTTTAACAGTCTGAAAAAAACCCCACAAAGTAAAGAAAAATGGAGGTTGGTTTCTTGAACTGGTCTGAGCTGGGATGCGAGCCATACCCCTTTCCAGGCCCAGTCCTTTCTCCTCCCCCCCAGCCCTTGCACCCCTTTCTTTTGCACAGAAATGGCTCGCTCGAACTCTCTGGCTCCCTATGCCTCTTTGCAGACTCCTAGCCCTCTGGGGACCTCAAGTTCTGTAAAGGACCCTCGGCCATCCAACCCTGATTGCGCTCCATCAGGGTCAGAGCATGGATGTCATTTTTCACTATTGCCCAGTGGCTGGACGCTTGGGTGGTTTTTGGTTTTTTGTTTCTGTTTTTTTGTTTTTTTTGTTTTTTTGCCTTTCTCTTTAAGGTCTGGAGTCTGGGAGGAGTGAGAGAAAAGTTAGATTGGGATTCAGAAGGCATCCCGTAGGTCCTGCCCAGACCCAGCAAAAGCAGTAAGATGCTCATTGACAGCCATTCTTTCTCTGTGTTGCTAGGGCCATGTTGTTCCCTTGAATGCACACAGCAGGCTGCTCAGTGTATTTCCGTGCTGGGGCTGGGGGTTAGGGGGGTGGAGAAGGAGATTCAGTCCTATGTTTTAGTCCCTCCCCACCAGCCACAGGCTCCTTCTGGACTGTAGAGAACAGCAAGGAACTCAAGGTTGGTGGCTGTCTTAGACACCGCAGGGATCATAATTGGGCAACCAGAAAAGACTTCAGATTGGGCATGTGTCTGGAAAGGGGTGAGGTCAACTTTGACTCCTGTGGAAGAGTCAATGACCCACTGGATAAACCTGCCCTTATCACTGGACCATTCATTGTGGAGATTTCAGGTTTGGGGAGAGGTGATGAAGGTCTGTCTCATGGAAGTGAACTGCTCCGTTCCTCTTTGGGTCAGGGGAGAGGACATTTCTAGCCCCTAGACATAGACCGAATGGAAGCTTGACCTTCATCCACTCTCCACCAGCCAGACTGCCAACAGGAGGTCTCTCCCAGCCTCCATATGTGGGACAGTTCCCCAGGCTCCTAGCCACAGAAGCTCAAGGCAGCCAGAGAGTCTGGGCCACATTCTCTCTCCTGCCCATCAGGGCCTCCTGTCTATTCTTGATCTTGGTCATGGCATTGAGAAGGGGGAAAATGGAATAAACAGTGTTCAGAGGGACCCCTAGCACATCTTCCCTCTTTCCAGAGCAGCAGCACAAACATGCCAAGGCAGGTTGTTCACAGAGTGTGACAATCTGGCTTTGACATGGATGGGGGTCAGGGAGTGGGGGAGCACAGTGAGGAGGCTTATGGAATCTCTGTGTGTGTGTGTGTGTGTGTGTGTGTGTGTGTGTGCGTGTGTGTGTATCTGGGTGGGGTCCCCTTGACTTAGGGGATATTGGTCATTGGAAGGAGTATTGGCCAAGAGTCTGTCCATGGTGGTGGGTGGGGGTGGATGGGCACTGTGAGTGTGAGAATCCTAGGATGCCCAGGCTATAAAGGCTTCAAAAGCTCATCCTATCCCAACCTTGCCCCCCATCTCCCATTTGACAGAAGACTGAGACCGAGAGAGATCAAGTGACGTATCCAAGTTCTCACATCAAGTTTGTGGCAGAACCAGGGGCCAGAACCCAGGTATCCTGGCTTCCAAACCAGAGGCTCTTTTCATGTATAGAAGTATTTGTGAAGGCAGGAGTCAGTAAGCATGGTGATATGTGTGTGTGTGTGTGTGTGTGTGTGCGCGTGCATTATGGCTTCCATGAGTGTGAATCAGTATTAATTGAACATGGGCACATGAGGCTGGATCATAGAGGGGGATGGTGGAGGAAGCTTGTGCACGGGGCGGGAAGAGGGGTAATCTAGATGAGTCCAAGCGGGCATGAGTCAGTGTCTGCATGTGAACGTGTGAGTCTCCTTGGGATGGGTGGTGTTTGTTCTCAGTTAGACACTCCCTCTCTAACAGTTTCTTTCTCTTAACAGGAAGAAATATTTTTCTCATGGAAAGAGTCATTTCCCTTTCTCCACCAGTCAGCCCTGCTCCTGGTCTTTTGTCATTTTTTCTTGTTCTTAAAAAATTTTAAATTATTTCATTTAAATGGATTTATTTTCTGTTTTTCTCTTTACATGTTTCCCGCTAACATTTAGATTTCCCTTCTTACCTCCCCCCCTTTTTTTTTTCACAGTTTAAAGCTGCAAAACAGTTAAAATAAAAATATGATCTGATTTCTCTTGCAAGGAAATCCACATATTATATTTACATGTATGTAGTTTGTAGTGTTTCGGAGTAAAAAAAAGCCACTTTTTTTTTCTTTTCTTTTCTTCCTTTTTTTTTTTTTAAAAGAAATCTTTTGTCATAGTGTCACTGCGATCAATCACTTCTCTTCCCTTGGACCCCTGGCCCTGGGGAAGCAATAGGCCCCATGGTGTGGCAGCTACTCTTCACCAAGGAACTGAAGAGTAGTTGGAAGCCTTTGGGCTAGGGGACCATCTGACCCCTGGGACTGAAGGTGGGAAGGATGGTGAGTCTAACTGGGTCACTTTCCTTCACCTGTTTTCCCTATGGGGATGGGAGAGAGTGGCTGTGTTTTCTAAGTCTTAAGAACAGTGTTTCTTTAGAAACTTTGTTTCTAAGTCCTAAGAACAGTGGCCTTCTTTCAAATTGTTGGGTTGGATTTGCCCAATGCAAGTGGACCACCCCCTCTACCCTCTTCCCCATTCAACACTACTGACCCTGAGCACAGGAGCATTTGGGAAGTGGCTCCCCATGAATTTCTGGGAATCCTGGAAAGTTATGGGCAGCCTTCCCGTCTTTCTCCATCACTCTGGGCTGAGGGGTCACAGTGGATCACCATTAAGCACTGGGAGCTTGGAGAGGGGGCAGTGGCCAATGTGAAACTCACCTCGTTCCCTCCCTCCTGTGCTTTAGCGACCCACAAGAAACCAAGAAGTCTTGACCACCCTGCAGGTTCAAAGGCTAGCACTGGGTCAGAGAAGGCATGGGAACTCCTTGCTTGGGGACACTAACCCAGAGACTCCAGGGCTTGGTGGTCACTGCTAATCACCCCCAGCCCTCTCATCGCCCTGAGGACTCCGGGCTCTGCTCCCCTCTACCCCCTAAGGGGAGTCAGAGCCCACTTTGGGTTAAAAGTGAACAGAAAAGAAATCTCATCCAATTAAAAAAATAAACCCTGAAAAATTCCCCAAAGCCTCCCTCCTTGTCCTTGCCTTGGTTTATTTATTTTTTAAATTTCTCTTGGTTCCCTTGGTTTTTTTTTTAATTTGTTTTTATTAAATGTTAAAATAATGGTACATGGGAAATCATGCATTTTCTTTAAATTTATTTTCTATTTTTTCTCTTTTTAATCTCTCTTGCTTTTAAAGTGTTTTTTCTCTTTTTTTTCCACATTTTTTCCTGTTGATCTCTTCATTTCTCTTATTTTGTTTTTGTATTTTTTTGTTGTTGTTGACTTATTTTTTTCTTTTTTTCTTTTTTTCCTTTTTTGCTTTTGGAAGGTTCCCACTTGGTTGGTTTTGTTCCCCCCAACCCCCCCACCCCTCTTTTTCCACCCCCACTGACCCTAGCCTGGCCCGGCCTGTTCCCCTGGCCTCTTTCCCCTGGCCCCGACTCGGAGCTCTGGGCCTCGGCTTCATACAGGGGTGGTACGGCGGTTGGCTGTGTTGGTATGGATAGAGTCCTTGTTCTCTTTCTGGATACAGTTGTGAACTTGGAGGAAGCTATTATCCCTGTCAGAGTTGTACGTGGTGGTGGGGGTGGTGGCGGCCTTCAGGGGGTCCCTGGTTAGGGTGTACATCGAGATCTCTGTGGAGGGCAGAGTGTTGAACCCTTTGATGCCCACGGGGGATGCATCCCTGGAGTGGGAAGGCTCGGTGGAGCGGGAGCTGGAGCGACTTCGTCTCTGGTAGCGATAGCGGTAGCTGGGGATGCGGGTGATGGCGGAGGACTGGAGGTAGTCCGTGGCACGGGCATTGGCTCGAAGCTGTTTGTGCCGGTCGATAAACATGTGGACAGCCAGCACTCCCACCATCTCGGCAATGATGAAGGACAGGGCCCCGAAGTAGAAGGACCAGCCATAAGAGTAGCTATTTTTCTTGGAGTCACTCTTGGAAGGGTCTCCAGCATTGGCTGATATGTACACAATGATGCCGATTATATTACTCAGACCTAGGGGAATGTGATGGGGGGAGGAGGGAGGAAAAAGGAAGAAGAGGGCTCATTAGTTTCCAAGCAGCAGTGGATGGCGGTTGGTACATCCTGGAAGCATGAGGAGGATCTATTGAAGGTACCTCATTTTACAGGTAAGGAAACTGAGGCTGGAGAGACCAAACAATATTTCCAAGGTAATATAGGTACTATGGATCCTCTAGAGCTGGAAGGGACCTCAAAGGGCGTCTAGACCCTTCTCCGTTATTTTATTATTATTATTTTATTATCATACAATCATTAGATCGCACCTCTAGAGATCCAGGGCACCTTTCACAAATGAAATGAGTCCCGGAGGGGTTCAGAGGTCAGAGTCCAAGGTCATGCAAATCATGGTTCTCCCTCCTCACTTTCAGCCTTTGGAAATCCCTGAGGACTCTTAAAAACATGGCTCAGGGGCAGCTAGGTGGCGCAGTAGATAGAGCGCTGGCCCTGGATTCAGGAGGACCTGAGTTCAAATCCACCCTCAGACACTTACTAGCTGTGTGACCCTGGGCAAGTCACTTAACCCCATTACTTAGCAAAAACAAAAACATGGCTCAGGTGCCAACCCCTCCAGGAAGCCTACTATGGGCCAAGCACTGTGCTAAGGGATGGGCATACAAAGAAAGGTTTAAAAAAATAGTCCCTGCTCTCAAGGAAGTTACAGTGTAATGGAGGGCAAGCATATGAGTAACAAATACTGGAAGAGGCACCATGGTGCAAAGGAAAGAGCATGGAGTCTAGAGTTCAGAAGACCTGGGTTCAAATCCTGCCTCAGGTAACACTAGTTGTATAACCTTGGGCAAGTCACTTTACCTCTGTCTGCCTCAGATTCCTCCCTTCTGAAATGAGGGGACTGGATTTGATGGCTAAGGTCATTTACAGCTCTGAGACTGTGAACCTATGATGAGATGATTTTTAAAGGTCCCTTTCATCTCTAACATCCCCTGTTCTAAGGCCCCTGCCAGCTCTGACATCCCTTGTTCTAAGTCCCCTCCCAGCTCTGACATCCTTTGTTCTAAGTTCCCTCCCAGCTCTGACATCCCTTGTTTTAAGTCCCCTCACAGCTCTGACATCCCTTGTTTTAAGTCCCCTCCCAGCTCTGACATCCCTTGTTCTAAGGTCCCCTCCCAGCTCTACATCTTATGGTTGACTTGATTAATTCAGATAGTAGAATCCTCCTCAAAGGACAATTGGGTATAAATGAAAAGTGGGAATAAACAAAATATAGACCCTTTTCTTTAAAATTATTTCTTTTTTATTATGGACTTAATCATAACAAACAGTAATATTTCAGTGTGCAAAGAATAAAAAAGAACTTGTGTCACAAACTGAACCACTTCTTTTTCTTTTTTTCTTTTTTTTTTTCTGGTAATTGGGGCTAAGTGACTTGCCCAGGGTCACACAGCTAGTAAGTGTCTGAGGCTGGATTTGAACTCAGGTCTTCCTGACTACAGGGCTGGTGCTCTATCCACTGCACTACCCAGCTGCCCCTGAACCACTTTTTTTTTTTAAATATGTACGTTAAATTGAACAAAATTGCCCTGTTTGTAGCACTTCCTGAAGGGCTTTTTGTTTTGCTAAATATTTTAAAATGTTTTATAGATGTCCGTCCTGCCTTCCTTCCTTCCTTCCTTCCTTCCTTCCTTCCTTCCTTCCTTCCTTTTTCTTTCTTTCCCTTTCCTTCTTTCTCTGCCTCTGTCTGTCTGTCTCTTTCAACACATGGGTGATACGTTGTTTATTCAGTGTCTGGATGTCACTGAGTCAGCCTACCCAGCTTGATGGAGTCTGTACCACACTGCTTCCTAGGTATGAAATGAGGCACACCTGTCTTTGCCCCACTACCCCACCCCCCCAGTCTTCCTTAGTGGGGCCCTTCCTCTAGGAAGTCACTAGTTTCTGCTCTCAGAAAGCTTGCCTTTCATTGGATGAAGAACACAAGAGAACCAGCTGTTTCCAGTTGTGGGGTGACCCCCCCCAGCATTGTTACCAGGGCCCCATTGTCCCTCCCTCCCTCCCTCTCTTTCCCTCCCTTCGTCCTTCCCTCCCACCCTCCCTCCCTCTCTCTCTCTCTCTGCCTCGGTCTTCTCTGTACACCCCTCCTTCTCCCTGAAGCCAGATCCCTCTGGCCACTGAACTGCCCATTCCGTCATCATGTCTTTACCTGCAGACACGAAGAAGATGCCGGCACTCAGGATGATGTTATGTCGGGTTTTGTAGAACTCACTGGCTGCGATGCAGAGGCCCCCCATGAAAAGCAGAATCACGCTCAGGATGGGGAAGATACTGGAGGCCCTCACAGCCCCTGTGAAGCAGAGAGAGGGAGTGGGAGGAGAGAGAGAGAAAGTTGGCGGGAGACGCTGAGTACGTGGGACTAGGGGGAGAAAACAGGGGCATAGGAATGGGCAAAAGGAGCTGGGGAGCAGAGGGGGTATCAGTGAGGGGGAGAGGAGGAAAGCCAGGAGGAAGGAGAGCCAAACATGTCGGGGACAGAAGAAATGAAAGATGTGAAGGGGAAAGGATAAGAAGGGAGAGAAAAGAGGGAATGATGGTGACGAAAAGGAGAGAAGAGCAGATGATAAAGAAGCAAGGGGACAGATTCCCCCTGCCTCCCTCCACACGGGGAATCTGATGGAGGCAGGCACCCAGGTGGGGATGAAAGTGATTGTGACCGTGCTGTGAGGAAACACCAGGATGGACATGGAGAAGGTTGGGGTGAGGATGGGGAAAACCAGGGTGGGCTCCATAGAGAGATCTGTTGTAGCAACATTGCCCTCCACAAATATTCAAATAGATAAAGGCTGACCCTTTGCTGCTCCAGTCAAGGCTTATGATTAGATCTTTTCCAATACTGGTCATTCATTCATTCAACAAACATTTCTTCCAGAGGTTCTTGCTCTGAAGTCTGTGAAATTGTTTTAGAACATTTTGATAGTGGCAATTCAATATAATTGGTTTCTCTTGTCATCCTACACTTTTTATTTTATGCATTTAAAAAAATGATTCTGAGACAGAGCCCACAAACTTTACACGAAGGGGTCCATGACACACAAAAGATTCAGAGCCTCTATTTTATTTATTTATGGGTGTCTTAGTGGTGTAGTAGATAGATGGCTGGATTTGGAATGGAGAAGACCTGGGTTTGAATCCTGCCTCCAGCATTTGCTAGCTGTGTGACCTTTGGGCAAGTCACTTAAACTTTCCGGGCTTCAGTTTCATCATCTATAAGCTAGTGATAATAATGCGCCTACCTCAAATAAGGTCAAATAAGATACCATGTATAAAGTGTTTTGCAAATCTTAAAGTAGATGCTCACTGTTGCTTACTCATAATACATTTCATTGCAATCTTTTGTTTTTATATAACCTGCATTTCCCAGTGAATTTCCCTGCCTTTCTAAGAAAGTCATTTCTTATAATAAATAATTTTAAAAGGAGGAAGCAAGTTCAGTGAATCTAAGTAACATATTGATTAGATCTGACATTCTATACAGTGTTCCAGACCCCGTAATCCTTCATGTTTGCCAAGATTTGCAGGGAGACACCTTTTCGCATTTCTTCTTTAGGGTCAAGTTTGGTCCCAAATAATGTGGAATCATTTAATTTCCATTGGTTTGTCAGTAAGCCTTCATTAAGCACCTGCTGGGGCTGGTTCCCAGCTCTGTTGTTCAGTACCAGAGTGACCTTGGGGCCTCTTCCCCATCACCAGCCTTCCTTTCCTTTATCTGGAGAACAAAAGAGTTGGACCAGATAACCTCCAAGACTCCTCCCAGTTCTAGAGCTGATCTGATGCTCCTACCATAGTTCAGGCATGGTGCTTGGCACAATGAGGTGACCCAAGGATACTCACATTGCTATATAGCTTTAAGAATTTTTTTTTTTGGTTAGGCAATGGGGTTAAGTGACTTGCCCAGGGTCACACAGCTAGTAAGTGTTATGTGTCTGAGGACGGATTTTAACTCAGGTCCTCCTGACTCCAGGGCCGGTGCTCTATCCACTGCACCACCTAACTGCCCCAGCTTTAAGGTTTACAAAGTGATCTTCCCCTAAGCAGGCTCTGAGGTACATTGCATAAGCATTATAGCACCGCCCCCCTTTACTCATGAGGAAGTAGTTGTAAGAGGCAGGATTTGAACCCAGGTCCACTGACTACTATACCCCAGTCAGCATAGTTTCCTTCTTTGAGAGAAGGGTGGTAGCAATGTCCACTGATAGGTCCCTTCTTGCTTGTGCCTAATGCTTTGATCACAGGCCCCAGAAGAGAGAATATTCCTTCGTAGTAAGTGATTTCCTTGGCTAGGAATCCTTCTCCCTGGTCCGCCTTTCCTCTCCCCTCCCTTTCCTCTGGAGCAGCCTTGATTCATGGCATCACCAAGCAGGCTCTGCCGGAAGGCCTCTGATCCCCAACCACTCGGAAAAGGGAAATAACGTTATAAATAAAGAGGAGACAGGAGAGCTTTCTGAGGGTCAGGAAGCAGCTTTTCTGATGAGCACAGTGAGAGACGGATCCCAGGCCTCTTTTTCAGAAAGCGGGACTCTCAGCAGGGAGGGTCCCCTTCCCAAGAGGGACAGCCCTGCCAACTCCAGGGGGCTGGGGTCAGGCAGAGAGCCCTTGGGTTTGAATCCTGGCTAGGGGATTTCCTTTCTCATTGACTGTGGGCAAGTCACCATCCCTGTCTGGGAAGGTGGACTCAATGATCTTTAAGGACTTTTCCAGTTGCGGACTGTGGGTTCAGCCCAGAGCTGCAGACACAACTGATGTGGCTCAGTGTGGTATCCTAAACAGATGAGGGCTCACAGGCAGATTCTGGAGCAAAACTGAGGCCAGAGAAAGAAGAGTCGCGGGGAAAGAGATTATGTGTATGTCTGTGAAAGAGATAGAGAGGAGGGTGGGGAGAGAGACAGAGAAAGGGGGAGAAGACAGAGACACACAGACAGAGACACACAGAGACAGAGACAGAGAGAGACATAGAGAGAGAAACAGAGAAGAGAGGCAGAGACAGAGAAATAGAAAGACGAGAGAGACACACACACACAGAAGAGAGACTGAGAGACAGACATTGACAGAGACACACAGAAATTGTTACTGTGTTGCAGACAGCTAAGCAGATATTGAAGAGCCACACCAGTGGGAGATTGGAGGTATGGAGGAGCTTGTGATACATTGTGAATTATAGAGACCAGCTGGTGAACATGGGCAGAAGCTCATTCCAGGACAGTCCGGCAAAAGCTGCTTCACTTCCATTAGAGAAAGATTCTCTTTGCCCAGGAAGGAAGACCAAGGCTCCTGGGACCATGGGCATATGAAAGGAGCCTCAAAACCATCCTGTTCAGTCTTTACAGATGTGGAAATGGAGACCCACAGAGGGAAAGACTTGCTCAAAGTTAACTCAGACAAGACAGGGCAGGGGCAGAATTTGAACTCAGATCTTGGGACTTCCAAGGCAGCGCTCCTTCCATGTCACCATGGCACTGACTCTAGGAAATACAGATCCAGGAGGAGGAATGATGCTGATGTGTCTCATCTCATCTCATCACTCCCTCCCCTCCCCCCCATCTTCCCCCTCTCTTATTGGCACCATCCATGTTCAGGCTGTCTCCCAGGTCTTCCTCTCTTCACCTCTGTCTCTTAGCATCCCTCCTCCCCTTCCCAGCTGCTAGGCCCTGCCCCCTGAAAATGATGGGACATTGGTTTAGTGAACATCCTATATAAGCTCTCAAAGCTACAGATAGAATGTAAGCACCTTGAGGGCAGGATTGGCTACACTTTTATTTTTCTCTCTCCCGTGCCTAGCTCAGTGTAGGTGCTTAATAGGTTCTTGTTGATTGATTGATCTCCTGTCTCTCTGCACAGAGTTTTCCTCTCAGCCAGCTTGGGATAATAGGAAATACTAGGAAAGTATTGTTAACCCCATTTTCCAGGTGAGGAAAGTGAGGCACGGAGAGAGAAGCACATCTGCCCAAGGTCATACAGATGTTAGTGTCATAACCATGGTTCCAGCCTGGGTCATCTGCTCTTTCTATTACGCCTTTTTTGGAGGAGTCATAGCTGGGGCTGGGAGCTAAATGGTTAAGAAACAAAATCAGATGGAAGAGGCAGGTGATTGGCTTTCTGTCTTCTGGACCACCATCAAGGCATAGATAGAGTGCAGGCCCAGAAATGGGACATGGGAAGCATGCAATTCCTATACCCAGACCTGGGATTGTGGTAGGCAGGGTGGGCAACCCCACACAGTAGGACTGCTGGCTCATAGATTTTGAGCTGGAAGGTTTCTCAGAGACCAGGTAGTCCATCCCCTCACATTTTACAGATGAGGAAACTGAGGCCCAGAAAAATAAATGATTTACCCAAGGTCACATAAGTGATGAGGAAGGATTTCCACTCATCGCTTGGACTTCAAAGCTTCCCCTTTCCACTGTACCAGACTATTTCTCAACAAGGGATTTTTTAAAAAACACGTCTTATAAAGGCCCATATTTTTAATGGTAGGAATTTCAGCTCTCAAATGGCCTGAGGGATTGCTGGGGTGATAAGTCAAGTCACAGGCATGTGTTGCAGGGAAGGCTTGAAGGCTGCAGTGGACAGATAGTAAGAGACACTCAGGGGAAGCAATTTCCAGAGCTGGCCTTGGGCTCACAAGTGTCTTGTTTCAGGTTGGTACTTAGCAGATATCTTTCCAACAAGGAGTTATTGTGTGTCTTCCAGTGTGTGTGGCACTGTCCTAGGCCCCATAGAAGCCCCTGCCTACCAGTACCTTAGAAATACCTCAAAAATGCAAGGCATAGAGACCAGAGCAGAGCTGAAAAGGAAATACTGTGGGAGCCCTCAGGAGGAAAGAATGTCATCTGGTGAGGGAATCCTAGAAGACTTCTTGGAGGGGGCCAGAGTCCAGAACATACGCTTGCTTTGCTCACCCTGGGCTAGGCCAGTTCCTCAGACTCATCACTGAACTGTGTTAAGTCATTGGAACGGCCTTCTTAGCATCGATTCTGCTGAGTCATCTCCAGTTCCTGAGCTGCACCACTCATGTTCAGTCTGGACAATGGGTAGAGAGTCAGAGGAGATAGCATTGAGTCCAGATACCACCTCAGGCTTCCCTGTCCTGGGCTTAAGCGTCAGGTGTGGCTTGGCCAGTGAGGCACTATGGTGTAACTCTCCAAGTGTTCTCAGAAGGACTCAGCCCCAAGGCTGATCTCCTCTGCCCCAGTGTCTGGGGCTGCAAAGGGGTGTGTGTGTGTGTGTGTGTGTGTGTGTGTGTGTGTGTGTGTGTGTGAGAGAGAGAGAGTGTATGTGAGAGTGTGTGTA